CCCCACCGCAGGGTGCACCCCCAACTCCCTGGAGCTCAGGCCCTAGGCATCTCCCCTCCTCCTCATCCCACCCACCCCTCTACCGCCAGGTGCGGTCACGCTGTCGCTCCACATCCTGCATCTCCCCCCTCACACCTCCCCTCACTCACACACAGACACCTCTGACGGCCTGGTCAACGGCACAGCCTCCGGGCCCCCGCCCTGCCTCCACCCGGGCCCTTGGTCCTGGTCCACACGCAACACAGGGGACTTGGGTGTGTTTTTTTAATTTTTTTAATTGATTTCAGAGAGGAAAGGAGAGGAAGAGAGGGATAGAAACAGTAATGATGAGAGAGCATCATGGGTCAGCTGCCTCCTGCACGCCCCCCACTGGGGATCAGCCCGCAACCCAGGCACATGCCCTGGACCGGAATCAAACTCGGGACCCTTCCATCTGCAGGCCGACGCTCTATCCACTGAGCCGCACTGTCTAGGGCTGCATGGTGGGTTTCAGGTGCCATTTCTCCGGCACCAGAGAGGCGGCCGAGGACAGCGGGGGGCCGGCCTGTGCAGACTCCTCCAGCCGGAGGGGGAGCGGAGATGTGAGGGAGAGGGGAAAGGGACAGGTCAGACACGGAAGGAAGGAAGGAACGGGGCTCGCCTTGGGCCGCCAGCCCCCGCCGCCCTCAGGGGATCCTGGAGAGGCGCAGCAGCATCCAGTGGCGGAACTCCGCGGGGGGCTGCGGGAGCTGCTTGCTGGCCGCCTGCGCCAGGACGTTCAGGATGGGGCCGTGGGCCTCCCGGCACAGATCGGCCCCCAGGACGGCCTCCACCCGCCCGCGCCACGCAGCCAGCCGCGGCCGGCCCGCAAACACGTCACGGCCCATAGCCACCACCTGTGGGCGTTGGAGACAGGGTGTAAGCTGGCAAGGTCCCAGCCTTCTAGCCCCCCTACCCTACCCACACAGTGTTCCCAGACCTGTGTGGATGGCGACCATCAGGAGAATGAGAGCCACCTTTCATGGCGTGCCAAAAAGTCTATTTACTGAGATTTGCTGCACCGAGAATCTGTCCTGCTCTGTCTCTCCCTCGGAGATTGAGAGGAACAAAGAGTACATTCCTCTTGACAGACCTCCCATTCCGTGTTTGGTGTGTAAAAAGCATCACACAGTTAATAAACTGGCTACCTGTAGTCCTCCGGACCCCGCGTTCCTGTCTGTCTTTCTCTTCTCAATTCCCACCCCCCTACCGTCAGGCTGGCCCTGGCATGGGGGATGAGGGCGGGACAGTGAGTGGGATACGGAGGTCCTGATGCCAGGAGCCTTGTCCAGCTGCCATGTGAGTGAGGCCCAGGCAGTGTGCGCACCGCAGGCCTGAGAGCACCAGACAGCCCAGGCCCAGCGGCTGCGCCTCGACCTGTGCACCAGGAGGTCAGGGTTCGATCCCCGGTCAAGGGCACAGGCCCGGGTTGTGGGCTCGATCCTCAGTGTGGGGTGTGGAGGAGGCAGCCGATCCATGATTCTTTCTCTCCTCCCTTCCTCTCTAAAATCAATAAAAATATACATATGTATAAATAATAATAGTCCTAGTTGGTGTGGCTCAGTGGATAGTGTCGGCCTATGGACTGGAGGGTTCCAGGTTCGATTCCAGTTAAGGGCACATGCTCAGGTTGCAGGCTCGACCCCCAGTGAGGGGGGCGTGTGGGAGGCAGCTGATTGATGATGATTCGCCCTCATCATTGATGTTTCCATCTCTATCTCTCTCTCTCTTCCTTTCTGAAATCAATAAAAATATATTTAAAATTATAATGAAATATATATATACATTAAGAATATATATATATATATATATATATATATAAATGTATTTTATTGATTCTTTACAGAGAGGGAGAGATAGTTAGAAACATCGATGAGAGAGAAACATCGACCAGCTGCCTCCTGCACCCCCCTACTGGGGATGTGCCCGCAACCAAGGTCCATGCCCTTGACCGGAATCCAACCTGGGACCCTTCAGTCCGCAGGCCGATGCTCTATCCACTGAGCCACACCGGTTAGGGCTAAAAAATATATTTTTTAAAAAGCACCGGGAGGAAACCCCGCCCCCCCAGGAGGGAAGCAGAGGGTGGGGCTGCAGCAACGGGTTCAGCCAGAGCGCTCTGGGGGGCCTCCAGGCCTCAGCGCTGCGGTCGGAGGACGCGGCCCGCACAGGCCGCTCCCCGCCACGCTCGTACCTGCATCAGCTCCTCCAGGGCCAGGAGGTCCGCCAGCGTCAGCTGCGGGCCGGCGAGGAAGGCCTTGTCCCCCAGCACCTGCTCCTCCAGCTGCTGCAGCGCGCTGTCCACCGCCGCCCTGTTGCGCGTCACCTTCTCCTCGGGCACTGGCGCCCCGATGTGCGGTGCCAGCACCTGGCACAGGCCACGTGCAGGCTCAGCCTGTGGCCCCGCCTCCTCCCAGGCCCCTGGCAGGTAACTGCCCCCCCAGTTCCCCTCCCCCGAACGGCGCCCCTCACCTGGGTCCACAGGCTCACCCCAAAGGTGCCCCGGATGAAGTCTGCGTGCCAGCCCAGGTACTCGTGGACGCGGGCGCGGGCCTGCAGGTCGGCTGGGTACCAGTGGTCCGCCGCCTGGTACTTACAGCTCAGGTAAATCAGGATGGCCACGCTGGGGACAGGCGTGGGGGGAGGGGGAGCTGTGAGAAGACCTGGGCCTTCATTCCCGGCTGCCCCACCCCCTGGGACCTGGGGCTTGTCTGCTTTTGAGGGCTGGCCTCCCGTCCCTCCCCTGCTCCCGGGCGCTGCCGCCTCTCGCCCCTGACTGTCCCCCTGAGGCTCCTTTCTTAGTCTTGAGCACTAAGTCTCGGCCAGCCCCTCTGTTCCGGACTTCAAGAACCTCTTCGCAGCCGAGCCGGTTTGGCTCAGTGGACAGAACATCAGTCTGTGGTCTAAAGCGTCCCAGGTTCAATTCCCAGGTTGCCGGCTGGATCCCCGGTAGGGGGTGCGCAGGAGGCAGCCAGTCAATCAATGATTCTCTCACATCACTGATCTCTCTCTCTCTCTCTCTCTCTCTCTCTCTCTCTCTCTCTCTCTCTCTCCCCCCCCCCTTTCCCTTCCTCTCTGAAATCAATATAAATATATATTTTTTTAAAAGAGAAAGAGCGTCGGCCTGGGGACTGAAAGGTTCCAGGTTCGATTCCGGTCAAGGGCATGTGCCTTGGTTTCGGGCACATCTCCAGCGGGAGGCTCGCAGGAGGCAGCTGGTTGATGTTTCTAATTCTCAATCCCTCTCCCTTCCTCTCTGTAAAAAAATCAATAAAATATATTTAAGAGAGGGGGGGGGGAGGGAGGGAGAGAGGTGCAGGGATGCGCTGTGTCACCCCGGGAGCCCCAGGCCACCCTGGCTCACGCCCAGCCACCTGCTCCCATCCCACCTTCCCCTCGGCCCTCGGGCGGTGCCTGTGGGTCCGGGGGCCGCAGCGGGGGAGCCAGGGCCCGCGGGCCAGCCTCGGAGGCGGCGGGAAGGAGCATACCTCTGGTGCAGGATGAAGTCGCCGTCCTTGAGGATGGGCACCACCTGCGGGCTGCCAGCCGGCAAGAACCCCTGGAGGTGCTGCCCTGCGGAGAAGGGGGTCAGAAAGGCCTGCACCCCGGCCTTGGGCTCCGTGGGCGAGCACGGACCCAGGAACCGAGCGCTCAGCAGTTCCTCCAGGTCAGGGCACAGGCCCGGGTTGCAGGGTCCAAGGGGTGGGGGGCAGCGTGCAGGAGGCACCCGATCCATGATTCTCTCCCATCATTGATGTTTCTCTCCCTCTCCCTCTCTCTCTCTCTCTCTCTCTCCCTTCCTCTCTATAGAATAAAAAAAATGTTTTTAAAATAGAAAAGGCTGCCGAAACCAGCGTCGTATTGGGGACTGAAGGGTCTCGGGTTCGATTCCGGTCAAGGGCATGGACCTTGGTTGCGAGCACATCCCCGGTGGGGGGTGTGCAAGAGGCAGCTGATCGATGACTCTCTCTCATCGATGTTTCCATAATAACTCTCTATCCCTCTCCCTTCCTCTCTGTACAAAATAAAATATATTTTAAAAAAATAAAAATATTACATCAAAAATATATTTTAAAATAGAAAAGGCTGAGGACAAGCACACCTCCTCCACCAGAGCCCCTGCCAGGCTGGGAACAGCGGGGCTGGGTGGGGGGCTGGTGTCGCTGGGCTCCTGCCCTGCCACCTTCGGGAGTGGCGATGGGGCTGCGCTGGGTGCTGCCAGGGACTGCAGTGGGTGAGGAGAAGTTATCAGACAGGGCTGGGGTGAGCAAGGGGAGGGGTGCCAGTCCCCCGGGTCTCCAGGGCTTTGGGGACTTGAGGCATGCTGTTTGGGGGTGCCTCTGGAAACCAGCTTTCTCCCCATCCGAGCGGAACAGGACCCCCTTTCAGGGAAGGCCTGTGGCCTGCCCCAGCCACCCGGCTCAGAGGAGACAGCAGGGCAGTGGGGGCTCTGCCCACCGTGGGACCGCAGGGGGCCGCAGGGAGCCGCAGGGCGAGGAGCCAAGGAGCCAGGGGACCAGAGGGTGCACGGGCCTCGGGGAGCTGCGGGGCTGGGAGCCAGGGGGTGCACGGGCCTCGGGGAGCTGCGGGCGGGGAGCCAGGGGGTGCACGGGCCTCGGGGAGCTGCGGGCGGGGAGCCAGGGGGTGCACGGGCCTCGGGGAGCTGCGGGGCGGGGAGCTGCGGGGCGGGGAGCCAGGGGGTGCACGGGCCTCGGGGAGCTGCGGGCGGGGAGCCAGGGGGTGCACGGGCCTCGGGGAGCTGCGCGGCGGGGAGCCAGGGGGTGCACGGGCCTCGGGGAGCTGCGGGGCGGGGAGCCAGGGGGTGCACGGGCCTCGGGGAGCTGCGGGGCGGGGAGCCAGGGGGTGCACGGGCCTCGGGGAGCTGCGGGGCGGGGAGCCAGGGGGTGCACGGGCCTCGGGGAGCTGCGCGGCGGGGAGCCAGGGGGTGCACGGGCCGCGGACGCCCCGCCGGCCGGGCCCACCTTTGAGCAGCTCCACGGGGCGCAGCTCGAAGGGGACGCCGATCTTCTTGGCGAAGATGTAGACGGCGCGGCAGGGCTGCGACAGCAGGTCCAGGTAGAGCTCCAGGCCCATGGCGGCGGGTGGCGGGAGGGCAGGCTGCACGATGGGCGATGGTGGCCGGAGCCCGGTCCCAGGAAATAGGGCCGAGCCCCGCCCCCGTGCGGGCGCCCCGCCCGAACCAATGTCCAGTCCGCCCGGCCCTGCGGGTGAAGTTCTACAAACACTTTTGTTTGTTTGCTCTGAGGTTGATTTGCTCAGACCTCGCCGGGCTCCGGGTCCCAGGCCACATCCGGCTGCCAATGCCCCGCGGGTGCGGTTCGGCCGCGGCTCGTGCGCCAGCATCTCTCCCCAGAGCCGCGCGCACGGCCCGTGGGGAGGGGGAGGGGGCGCCCGTGGGGAGGGGGAGGGGGCGCCCGTGGGGAGGGGGAGGGGGCGCCCGTGGGGGGGGGGAGGGGGCGCCCGTGGGGAGGGAGAGGGGGCGCCCCGTGGGGGGGGGGAGGGGGCGCCCGTGGGGAGGGGGAGGGGGCGCCCGTGGGGAGGGGGAGGGGGCGCCCCGTGGGGAGGGGGGGGGGGCGCCCGCGGGGAGGGGGAGGGGGCGCCCGTGGGGAGGGGGAGGGGGCGCCCGTGGGGAGGGGGAGGGGGCGCCCGTGGGGAGGGGGAGGGGGCGCCCGTGGGGAGGGAGAGGGGGGCGCCCGTGGGGAGGGGGAGGGGGCGCCCGTGGGGAGGGGGAGGAGGCGCCCGTGGGGAGGGGGAGGGGGCGCCCGTGGGGAGGGGGAGGGGGCGCCCGTGGGGAGGGGGAGGGGGCGCCCCGTGGGGGAGGGGGAGGGGGCGCCCGTGGGAGGGGGAGGGGGCGCCCGTGGGGAGGGGGAGGGGCGCCCGTGGGGAGGGGGGAGGGGGAGGGGGCGCCCGTGGGGAGGGGGAGGGGGCGCCCGTGGGGAGGGGGAGGGGGCGCCCGTGGGGGGGGGGGGGGGGCGCCCGTGGGGAGGGGGAGGGGGCGCCGTGGGGAGGGGGAGGGGGCGGCCCGTGGGAGGGGGAGGGGGCGCCCGTGGGAGGGGGAGGAGGGGGCGCCCGTGGGGAGGGGGAGGGGGCGCCCGTGGGGAGGGGAGGGGGCGCCCGTGGGGAGGGGAGGGCGCGCCCCGTGGGGAGGGGGAGGGGGGCGCCCCGTGGGGAGGGGGAGGGGGGCGCCCCGTGGGGAGGGAGAGGGGGCGCCCCGTGGGGAGGGAGAGGGGGCGCCCGTGGGGAGGGGGAGGGGGCGCCCGTGGGGAGGGGGAGGGGGCGCCCGTGGGGAGGGGGGGGGGGCGCCCGTGGGGAGGGGGAGGGGGCGCCCGTGGGGAGGGGGAGGGGGCGCCCGTGGGGGGGGGAGGGGGCGCGCCGTGGGGAGGGAGAGGGGGCGCCCGTGGGGAGGGGGAGGGGGCGCGCCCGTGGGGAGGGAGAGGGGGCGCCCGTGGGGAGGGGGAGGGGGCGCCCGTGGGGAGGGAGAGGGGGGCGCCCGTGGGGAGGGGAGGGGGCGCTCGTGGGGAGGGGGAGGGGGGCGCCCTGTGGGGAGGGGGAGGGGGCGCCCGTGGGGAGGGGGAGGGGGCGCCCGTGGGGAGGGGGAGGGGCGCGCCCCGTGGGGAGGGGGAGGGGGGCGCCCCGGGGGAAGGGGGAGGGGAGGGTGACGCCCCCTCTGGAGGCTGAGCCAAAGTGCCAGGAGTTTTCATTTAAGTGATTATTCACAAGTATCTGTACTTTCTTTTTCTTTTTCTTTTTTTCCCCTCTTTTAATGTATTTTATTGATTTTTTACAGAGAGGAAGGGAGAGGGATAGAGTTAGAAACATCGATGAGGGAGAATCATCGATCAGCTGCCTCCTGCACACCCCCTACCGGGGTTGTGCCCGCAACCAAGGTACATGCCCTTGACCGGAATCGAACTCGGGACCTTTCAGTCCGCAGACCGACGCTCTATCCACCGAGCCAAACCGATTTCAGCTGTACTTTCTTTTTTCAAAAGATGTTTGAGAGAGGGAGGGAGGGAGGGAGGGAGGGTGGAAGGAGGAGAGTGAGAAATATTTATATGAGAACTGCCTCCTGCACGCCCCCTACTGGGGATTGAGCCTACCATCGGCAACCTGGGGACATGCCCTGACCGGGAGGAATCCAGCCTTGACCCCTGGTTCACGGCTCAGGTGCCCAGCCGGCCGGGGTGAACTGGAGGTGGCCGGTGAGGGATTGAAGCAGACAGACAAGAAGATGCCATTGGGGCCGGGCGGATCACTGTGCCCGGATGAGGACCCAGTGAGAGCTCTAAGCCAAAGCTTTATTTTGTAATCAGGTCACACAGAGCAAAGCAAGGGGAGGGGTCAGCATGTCTCCAGGGTTCTAGCGAGTTTCAAATCCATGTCCTCACTCACGCCGAGCTTTGGCAGCACTGCTGCCCCGCCCGCAGCCCGCTAGCTGCCCAGCAACAAGGGACGCTGTAAGGCCAGGCTTCACTGTGCTGGGGGGGCTCTGCCCTCCAAGCTGGGGCTTGTATGTGGCTCTGCCCCGGGCCAGTCTGAGGCCTGACCCCATGGCCGCCCCCTACACCCACCCACCTAGCCACACCGGCCGGGCTTAGGTTATTTTGTGCAGGAACAAGCTAAAACCTTCGTGCTCACAGAAGGTCTTTGCAAACAACAAACATTGAGCCAGCTAACCCTCCTCTGAGATGCCTGCCTCCTGGCAGGCCCCTGGCTCAGCATTTTCCTCGCCTTCACTTTGCCCTCAGAGCGGGCACTGCCAGGACCCAGGCTGCTGGGGTCGCTGACCAGGGCAGTTTCCCGCCCAGCCCCGCCCCCGGCCCCGCCCCCGGCCCCACCCCGCTGGGTCCCACCTATCTGGCCCCGCCCCGCCATGGCTCCGCCCCTTAGTCCCGCCGCCGCCGCCTGGTCCCACGTGTCTGGCCCCGCCCCGCCCCCTGGCCCGGCCCCGCGCGGAGCATGCTGGGAGTGGACAGAATCACCCGCCAGGCCCTGGTCACGTGAGCGGAGCTGGAGGGAGGGAGGTGGAGGTTCGTTGACAGGTTGCCCTGGCAACAGACAGCTCCAGCAACGGGCGCTGGGCACGCGCTGGACCGTTAAGCTCCGTTAAACTCGCCCGGGTGACCCAACGGCCACTGCGCCCGGGACCCGAGGGTGCTGGGCGGGGCCGGGGGCGTGTCTCACATTGTTTCGGACCCTGGGCAGAAGGCAAAGGTCGGGGACTCCGGCTGTGCTGTGCCCACGGGGCGTGTCGAGAGGCAGGAGCTGTGCAGAGCCCCGAAGGGGAGGCCGGGGAGGGAAGCCAGGGAGGCAGGGAAAGAGGGGTGAAGTCCAAAAGCGAGGGGGGGAGAGAACGGGGATGGGGGGAATGAAAGCGGGGACGCCTCCCCCCGAGCTGAGCCGGTGGCTCCCTTTCCCGGCCCTCAGAGCCAGTCCCTGAGCGGAGCATGCTCTGCCCTCCGCATCCGGGAGGCCTGATGTTCCTCACGTACAAGAGGGGGTAGGGGGCGCGGCCAGGGGGTGAAGGCTGGGGGACGGGGACATAGAAGGAGGAGCAGAAGCTCTGCTGACCTGAATCCAGAGCCCGGCCTGGAGCAGGAAGGGGCCTGAGAGGTGGCTCGCTGGGGGGGCTGGCGGTCTAACCACGCTCTTGCTGGCGCCTACGGCTCCCTCTTACCCACTCTGAGACTTACCTTCGCCTCTGGGGTCCTTTCCTCCGGGTGAAGGAGGGGAGAGGGTCAGAGGGACGGGGGCCATGCAAGGAGGGAACGCCAGTGGGAGGGGAGGGAGGGAAGGGAGGGGACCCCTCGGAGGGGGGCTCAGCCTGCTGAGTAGACACCGGCTTTAAGAGATGTCCCATGTCGGGGGTGTCTGGGTGTGGTGGGGACCACGTGTGCGGCTGGGGGTGCCGGGGAGGCCCCTCTCAGCAATCCTCGTCAATGAATGGGGAGACTTCACGGGGGATCCACTTCATGGGGCTCGGCCACCACCACGCACCCATCGTGTTCCTGCTCTGTGCACCCCTCGCCCGGGGCGCCTCGGGGCCTCAGCCCACGCTCTGGGCAGGGGTCTCCCCAGGACGTGGGCGAATGGCCCGGTGCCTTTCGGGAACATCGCTGACGGGGAGGTGGGAGCGCCCCTTGTTTTCTGAGGCTGTTTGGTCCTCTGTGAGACACGCACTGCTCGGCCCCCTCCGTTCCCGGGCTGGGCCGGGACCTCCGAGAGGCACAGGTGCTTTTAAAGAGTGCGGCCCGGCTGCCTGGGCTCGGGGACCAGGAGGCCACGGTTTGATTTCCCTTCGGGACACGTGCTCAGGTTGGGGGCTCCATCCCCAGTCCGGGGTGTGCAGGAGGCAGCCGATCCATGATTCTCACCCTTGATGTTTCTCTCTCTCTCCCTTTCCTTTCAAAAAACAAAAAATAAAAATAAAGGGTATGGGGCCCTTTCCAGAAAGCCCCGTCCCCGTGGCCTGGGCATCGCTGGGGCAGAGAGGGGCTGGAGCCGAGCTGTGCAGGCGCCACATTCCCGCTGCCCCGTCCGCCAGGAGGGAGGGCCGGGGCCACTTGATCGGCAAGCAGACCGTTTGCCGTCATTTCTCCTGGGTCCCAGCCTGTGTTTGAACCCTCGCTCTCCCCCTCGCTAGTTGAGTGATGTCCACCAAAGCCATGGCAGCTTTCCTGCCGCAGTAGAACTAAGAGAACCTGTAAAGGAAACCCTATAAAAGCCAGGGCATGCCCTCGCTGGGGTGGCTCCCTGGACAGCGTCTGCCTGCAGACCTAAGGGTCCCAGCTTCGATTCTGATCAAGGGCATGTACCTCGGTTGCAGTCTCCTCCGGCCTGGGGCCCTGGTCGGAGCACTAGCAGGAGGCAAGTCTCTCTCGCATCGATGTCTCTCCCTCTCTCTTCTCCTCTCCCTAAAAACCAATGAAAAATGTCCTCGAGTGAGGATTAAACAAAATAAATGTCCTCACGAGCAGAGAGAGGCGTGGACAGGAACCCGGAAGGCTGGTCCGCCCTGAAGCTCTGAAAGGCCAGAGCCAACCGCCCACTGTCTAGACAGCGGTAGCTGAAGCAGTCTCTGCCTTTTACGTAAATCCTGTTCATGTTCTGTCATGGGAATTGCCCGTCTAAGGGCTGTGGGTGGAC